CCATCCTTGTTTCTTCCATCTTAAAAACGCTAACACTTGTTTGGATTTTCACAAGGTTATGCAGGCTGTAAGTCCTAACTGGTGCTTCTCAGCCCCAGCATTTGACGTTTGGAAACTTGGTCCCTACCCTCAGTTGCCTCTTTTTTGTTTCTTCCTTTTTCCTGCCTGTTGATTTGGGTGAAAGGAGGGCAGAGGAAGTTTACTCTCCCATTAGCAAGGCTGTGTCGTTAGAGAAATGCTCATTTCTTTCCATGTTGGAACTCTGAATGAACTTTCCTGTAACAGCACTAGTATAACTGGTGTCAGATACTGTAATAATATTGAGATACTTGGATGATTTGGGGACTGATCTGAGTATTTCATCACTATTTATAACATTTGAAAGGGAAATTCTGGGTTACAAAGACATTTAGTAACACCTTTTAAAATTGAGTACTGCTTAGATTTTATTATCCTATAATTAAGTGCTGTCTTTAGGAGATGATTTAGATGTTAGCTGTTATTTTTCTTGTTGCTCGTGCGTTCTCCTCTAGCAGCCTCCTTTCTCTTTCAGATGTATGATCACTATTTTTAGGGGTTTAGGAAAATCAGATGATTTAGCTTACTACATTTCTACATTCAGCCAATAGTCAACTTTGAATAGGATTTCTAAGATGTTTTCCAGTGAGAGAAAGAGGCATATCTTAGTACAAAGATTATGCCTTTAATTTTGTTTCCTTAGAGTCTTTTTGAACAGTCATTGTCTCTAGACTTCATTCTGGCTATTTGGGGTTGTCAAATGAGTTTGGGTAAATGAAGCACTAGCATGTTTAATGTGAAAATATCCATTTCCATTATTAAAGGTAGGTGTTTATTTAATAAGGTTGGTACTTATTTTTATTTATTTATTTTTAAGCTGAGCCATCCTGCCACCTGTTGGCAGCTCAGCAGCAGCTCAGTTCAGGCCAGGCATCGAACTGCTGTTGCTCAGAGCTCAAACTCTTGAGTGAGCTCTTAACCAACTGAGCCACTCGGCCGGCCCGGTTTGTACTTATTTAATAGGTATATAAATGTATCTTTTGTTGCAAAATGAGGCATTTACCTTAGTGCTTTTATCTATCAGAAACTATTTATGAAGTGTCACTACCAATTACATTTTAACCTTTTATTTTTTAATTGCGTGGATCATTAGACTAAACCAACTGTTATTAAATTGTCATGTAGTTAACGATTTGATCGTTGTATTAGGAACTATGATATTTCTAATAATAAAATGTTTTGACATCAAATTTATTTCTTTCTCTTTTAGGTAAAGAATAGAGCGTACCAAGGTAAATCTTTAGGCTTTCTGTTATTTGTACTGTTCCTTCATTACTGGTGTTTGATATGAGTTTTACAAACTATTATAGAAGTAGATACAGTGACGTCTGATGACTGACTGACATATTAACTCCTGAACATTTTACTAATCCTAAATTGCTAGCTTGGATGACAGAGTAAATGGTGATGCTACCAACTGAGATAGGAGATGAGGCAAAACAAACTGTGGGAGTAAGATGGAAGAAGATGATTAGTTTAATTTGGGGCAGATTTACTTTAAATGTTGATACAATGCAAATTTTTTACACATGAACAGTGTTCCAGTGCTAATGGTTTCATCAATATAGTATATATTTAAGCAGATAATTTGATTAATAAGAGATGTAAATCAATATGCTCATACTTTGTCTCTCTTTGCAAATGACATGAAATGATTATATTTTCTGAGAAGAAAGGTGCCTCATAAAGGGGGAAGGATAGCGAGCTAAAACAGTTTAGTCTACTTCCTATCTTTGAAATAAATTTAAATTGGAAACTCACTGAAATAAAGATTATATTTTTCTTAAGTTTTAATTTTTACACCTTTACTACTCTTAACTACAGATTGCTTTTTAAAGGATAATAGTTATGCTAAGAAGTTATTTTCTGTCATAGTGCCAGATAAGATGTTTTTGCTGCTAATACATTGGGTAATTCAGTTTTACTTAGTGATCATAATAATAACATGGATTTCCCCTCTTTTTAGTTACTGAACAGCAAATTTCTGAGAAGTTGAAGAATATTACAAAAGAAAATGCAGAACTTGTAAAAAAATTGTCAGATTATGAACAGAAGGTATAATTATTCTTTTAGTTTCTCCCCTGCCCCCCAGAGTTCCAAACTGAATTATTTCTCCTGTCTTATAGTTTATTATGCCATGTTTAAATCATATTTTAATTAATAATGGAATTAATAATTCCATTATTTTCTACAAATCATGCACATCTGAAGCAATCCTCATATGTGTAAAGTACTGCTTTCTTTTCTCGGTGGTCACCTACTTGGAGATAAGTTTTGATAGCACTATAACTTGTGTTTCTGTATTCTGAAATGTTTTTATTTTATGCAGATCAAGGAATCAAAGAAACATGTTCAGGAAACCAAGAAACAAAATATGATTCTCTCTGATGAAGCAATTAAATTTAAGGTAAAACCTTCCTTTTCTTTTTGACATTATATTGTAAAAACAAAAAGAAAAATAATGATTATTAATCTTAATATATTTTTCTATAGGATAAAATCAAGAAACTCGAGGAAACCAATGAAAATCTGAATGATACAGCTAAAAGTCTGCATGTTATGTTAGCATCTGAGAGAGAACAGAATGCCAAGAATCAGGACTTGGTAAGAGTGTTGCTGCTCAGAATTATGTAATTTTAATTTCCCATTTTTTTCCCCAAACTATTTTGTACATTGGGTGAGTTGAACTCTGCATTTTCCCATGCTGTCACTACAGTACAGCTGGGAGTCAGGGACGTTGAACCTACTTCTGTCCATTTTGAAGG